CGTGTCTCTGAAGAAGAACCTTAAAGCACCACATTCCTAATCTACCAGTTCCTAAATTAATTACAGTTCATTTGAAAGATACAATTATTTCTGCTCATTTAACTCAAATTCTAATGAATAACTATAAGAACCAAATGAATAGTGGAAGTAATTACACATCCACACCTTTGACTAGGTTGCCCAGCTAAACAAGCAAAACAACATTAGTGGAATAAGCAACAGTGAAGTAGCTCTTGCAGGGTAAGCAAGAATCTACAGTGAGTTCCAGTAAACCAAATAAAACCTAGGTGCAAACTAAAATACCAAAAATAGCCTAAAACAAACGTAGTTCTCACTAAAAGCTGAAGGATGACCAAGTAAACAGTGCAATAACTACAGAAAGTCTTTCAAATTCCTTAAGCTTGTCATTGTTCCTCCCTTTTATTTAACTCCTTCCCTGTGCCATTAAAAACTGGTAGCAAAGTGGACCCTGAACACACACAAAATAGAGACTGGCTTAAAGTGAAACACAGCAAATGGAAGGCAGGAGTACCTCACCCTTTCCAAGATAGTTCAATGTGGCCTTGGCATTTAGGGTTATCTTTCATACTAAACAACTACTTTATCCCCAGATCACAAGTGCACCACGACAGTATATGTCCAACTGAGGTCTGTGGCCACAGAGGGTAGACACCTTTAAGAAACTATGTGTTTCCCAAATGAACTTATCTATGAAACAGACTCACAGACACAGAGGACAGACTTGCAGACTTGTGGTTGCCGGGGGCGGGGTGGGGGGGATTAGGAGTTTGGGATTAGCAGATGCAAGCTACTATATAGAGAATGAATAAACAACAAGGTTCTACTGTATAGCACAGGGAACTATATTCAATATCCTGTGATAAAACATAATGGAAAAGAATATGAAAAAGAATGAATACAAATGACTGAATCACTTTGCTGTACAGCAAAAAGTAACATAACATTGCAAACCAACTATACTTGAATAAAATAAACTGTGTGCTTCCTCTTGCTAATGTCTTAATTAACTGCATATTCTACATCAATTTATGAGTGACCAACTTCTACCACTCAAATAGGTGCCCTTCTTATTTGTGTCATGGATCGCTAGTGTCAGGAACAACTGCTTTAAGAACAGAGGCAATACAACCAAGAAATAAAGTTTGCAAGAGAGACAAGGCCATAATCAGGACAAGCTGATTTTGAAGAACTGTACTTTCAGTCAGGAAAACAATGAGAAAATGAATCATCAACACACACAAGATATTATCAACAATCTTTATATGAGAGAAAATGTCATTTCAGCAAAATAACATCATCCATTGGTTAAATGTAGTTTAAAAGTTTTGAACTGGTTTCACAGTATTATTTATATTTAATGTGTAAACTGATTTGCTTTTAAGATTGCATGAATAAGTATAAGAATTATAGTTTCATGCAGGTATATTTTTAACTATCATAATTAATAAAATTATATTAGAGTCCACTAACTTTTTTTTTCTTTGAAAGAAGTCTAGCCATACAAGGTTGAGAAACACTCTCCTAAAGGTAGAGGAAACACCTGGCCAATTCCACCTTAAGGTGATGAGAGGAAGTGGACAGTGATAAGAAAGGAGGGATGGCCAAGATGCTACTGGGCAGGTGGGGGGAAAGAATGTCGACACGCTTAGGCTCTCTCCACCCAATCAATCGATTCGATTCAATGAGTAAAATTCCATTTCTGCCTTTTTTTCCCCCCTCTTTTTCTCTTCTTTTCTTGGGAGGGAGTGTCTGTCTATTCTTGTAAAGACAAAGCTCTACTCAACAATGGTTCTTTGAATTCAAAAGTATAAAAAGAGAAAGTAAAGGGGGGAATTATATGAGAAAGCCATTTTGAAATGTTTCTTTGGAGATAATCTATAAAAGGAGAAAATTAATAAGCAAAACTAGCCTATAATTTCACAACCCAAATTTTAAGAATGGCACCTGTCAAAGGAACAAAGTTCATAGAGTAACATTTGATAAAAAGGGTAGAGATTGTGAGTCATACAGCATGAACTAGAACCCAATTCACCTGTATCATATATTCTCAAATACCACTCACCAAATGTCTATATGGCATGTAACAAAATGAACAAATAATCCTAGTGGTAAGACTCTTATAAATGCTCCCTCATTTTACAGGAAAGGTAGGACCCAGAGATTAAGTTATTTGCTAATTATCACAGAGCATTTGACAGCACCAGAACTTAAACTCAGGTCTACGTTAAGTCACTATGTTAACTCAGTTAACTGTCACCCATTTTCTCAGAGTGGATATGAATGTGAAATGCAATAATTCATCTTAAAATATGGTAAATATCTTACATATATTATTTAAAATTCAAAGTTATTGTTATTTTAAATTATTTAAAATTTTAAAATTTTAAATTCAAAGTCAAGGCCCTCATTTATAAGTTTCCTTCAAAATACTCTACTAAAGAAATGCACATCCTGAACAAAAGATTAAGGAGCATATGTGACTCCTACTGGAACAGTAAAGCATGTATTACCCAAAAGAGCATGCCAAGACTTTCACCAGAAAAGTTATTAACCAGGTTGGAAATAATATAAGATGCTTAGAAATGCACTGATGATTGTCAGCTCAGGAAAGTCGTATTAAGAAACCATTAACTATAAATGAAAATGACAGCAAAGTGCTACAAATAAATCTGAAATGGATAATGGATACACTTATTGAAACAGCACGTATAGAGAAAGGAAAGGCATAGTTTAAGGTTAGGGAAAGTGAAGGCTTCCTAGGGCAGAAAGGAAAAACAGTCAGAAGGGGCAGGACTGGGGGAAGGAGGGCTCCTTGGTGGATCTTTGGGATGGAATTAAGCTGGCTTCAAGTCCTTTAGACACACTCCCATCCTCCTACAGGAGCAGCTTCAGAGAGCAGGCATTTAGCAGCTGCAGCCTAACCTCAGAGCATCCTCCCCAAGGGACAGAAGGTCACTTGGTGGGAAGAAAGCAGCACCATCATGTGACTTCAAGGGTTTCTCAGCTCCAGATCTTTCCCATTTGGAAGCTAATGTTGGGAATTCATTTAACAAGGAATAAAATGTTTTCTTTCTACTACAAGAGAAGTAATAATCAAATGTTAGTTAACGTAATGTACTCTCATCACAAACCTAAGATCCTAGAAAGACAGATTGTATATTTAAGTGTACAAGTTCAAGTTCATGAGGCAGGGTCTGTATGTTCAAGGAACTTACACTCTCCAGACTTCTTCACTTATGAATGGAAGAACAAACCTATAAAGATGGGAATCACCTGATTTTTGCAAGGTTAGATTCAATCATAGTAAAGTTCATAATATTACTAGTAAAACGATGCACATTTCAGAGGTTTTATCACAGCTATGTGTTTTCAACTTTTGAAGCAACAGAACTGATCTCCAGCAGAGCGAAAGGAAAATGTCATTTGTACACCATATGGTAGCTCCAGCAAGAGTCAGCCTGGCATTCAACACTGAGATGGGGAAACTCTTTTTGAAAAGCCATCATGCTCCCTAAGATGCAGAGGCTAGTCCAGAGACCTCAAGTGGGATTTGCAAATCGGAAAGAAGGAGAGTTCACATTTGTGTATACATAAGATGGACAGAACTGCAGATAAACTAGTAGTTTTCACAAATCAGTAAATACTATCATTACCAGTAGCCTCAAATTCAGAAATTAAGTGAATGTAGACATAGAACATTATTTCCTTTACCCTGGTTAAGTAACACAAGTGTTAAGTAGATGTTTTCACATTTGGGATGGTAAAATAAAAAGCATTTGGGAGCACACTAATTTCAAGACATTTTTCTAAGATTCAACCTTAGTACGAATACATACTTCCAAATAGAGATCAGATGCTAACGTTGTCTTAGTTTCAGACACATGCACATCTCCATCATGTTGTTACTAACCTTGCACTTGACATATCAATGATGCTTCCCCTACCTATGTCCTGGGAATTGCTAGATGGATCACCCAAAGGCCTCTCCACCTTAACAAAAATATCTCGCTCACCTATGGGAGACCAGAATTTCCAGGGGTTCATTTCAGAGGCTTTCAGAAACCTTTATTAAAGTGCAAATAGGTCCTGGGGAAGGTAACAAAACAAATTAAGCCTTATCATTTAGTCAGTCAATTCTCTGTAAGAGAAACTCTAGAGTTTCTTTTACTAAGACTCTCGTAGGTCCTAGTAACTGAAAATGAAGATCCAGGGGACGCAGGAAGTACAGAAAATCTGAACAGGAGGTGTGTGGGAAAGGAAGTGGGAGAATCTCCTAAAGGCAGTCTTTACTTTCTATAGATCGTCAGAAGTTCTGATTGGTCTTTAGCCACTGAACTCTCATCCCCAGTGACTGGGCCAACACCAGTTACGATGCAAACCAAAAATTAAGACGCACAAAAAGCTTGTAAAGAGATAAGATCCACTGGTGCCGCTCTGTCTTCATCTTACTAAATCGCAAAACTACAAATCTATATATGTTTTTAAAAGGCCAATTCAATGACCGGTTGTGCCCAATGAAGAGCCACTGAGGTACATAAGAAATTAATCATTTTCTTTGAATATCACTAAAATTAGCTTCATTTTTATCCTTAAGATAAACTCTCGAATCCCTCCTTAAGGACTTTTTTTTAAGTGTTCAAACTAGGTACAGTAAAGTTACAAAAAAGACCAATAGTCCCCAACATTTTTCCAGGAGCGTTATACAAAAAGATTACTTTGAACAACGTTCCTCAGGATATACTCCGGGGTCTAGTAGAGAGAGACCTTTCCCTTCTCTGTAGACTTGGGAGTAAATAAGTCAAGAACACCTACGAACAAACTTTGTTGGTCACCAGCAGGGGAGCTCTTCAGCTTTTGTCCCCAAACCCATTCAAACAAAAGAAGCTTCTCTTCCTCCAACCCACCCTCAGACCCACACCCCGGGGGTACTCTCCAGATCCCCGCGCCCTCTCCACCCATTCCCCGCCGGGGGAACTTACTCCTCAGCGCCCCGATGAGCAGAGAGCCGTCCTTAATGAGCTCTTTGATGAACTTGTTGGTTCGCTCCAGCTCAATCTCGTGACACTGCAGGCGCTCCCTGAAATCCGGGCTGTCCAAGTAGGAGTCGCTGAACTCCAGAGTCGGCAGCCCCATGGCACAGGCACTGCCAGCGGCCGCCGAGGACACGTCCGGGCCGGCGGTCAGGGCGGGGACAGCCGGCGACCGCGGCCGGCTCAGGGGACGCGCGATCGCGGGGAACTAGCCGGGACGCAAGGGGACGCGCAGGGGAAACGGGTCCCGCGCGCCGCGCCGCCTGCGCTGGGCTCCGCGGCGCGCGGACGCCTCCGGGCTCAGGCTTCTTCCCCGGAGGCGAGGCGAGCGCACACACGGGAGGCGGGCCGAGGCGCGGGTCCGCTCAGGTCGTTGTCACCCGGACGCATCGTCGCCGGGAGCGCGGAGGCCGCGGAGGCTCAGGGCCGCGGCCGGAGCAGGAAAGTTCTCTCGCGGCGCGCAGACACTTCCGGCAGCTACGGTCTCCTGCTCCCTTGACAGTCGTCTGCGCTGGGATTCAGAAGCGCCCAGCCGCCCCTCCGGCCGGGCCGGGGAAACCCTCCCCCTCGCTGGACGCAGGCTCAGAGCGCTCGCAGACCCTGCCGGGCTCGGAGACCCTCCTCCCGCCGCGGCGCTCCCAGCCCGCGCCGCCTCGCCCCTCCTCCCGTTTACCCTCCTGCCCCCGCCCGCCTGCACTTAGCTCCCGGGCTCCGCTCAGTTGCCGCGCGACAGCTCTTCTGCCTGCGCCCGGGGGTTAACTCTGCCCCTCCTGGGCGGCCGCTCCCCCTAGCCCGCGGTGACACTTCGGGGTCCGCCACCCCACAAAATGAGCTCCAACTCCCAACATGCCACCCTACCCCTGCCTCACCACCCACTCCCTGGAATTCTCTGGGAGAGAAGCCAACGTTAACTTTCTCTAAAGTTTGAAGCCTCGTTGGAAGATGCTACTTTCGAGCGTTAGTTTAGATTTTGCTTCGCGAGTCTGCACTGAATGCATATATATTCCAGGTTGAAAAGTTTTACTTTTTCCCACCATTCACTGCATTGATCCTAGAAAGTCAGGTTTTTTATATTCAAAATGAAAAGCTACATAGGCCTAAGGCTGTTTGTTGTTGTTGTTGTTTTTCTTAGTTGCTGTGAAGGTGGGAAGATTTTAGGTCGTTTTTATTCCCCAAACTAGCACCTCGGACTTAGGTGTTCCTCTTGTAGAAGAATAACTATTTGTATCACAATACTACTTTTTATCGTCACCTTTATGGAATTGCCCCCAAAGCATGGAGCTTTTCAAACTGTTGAAGTTGGCTGAAGTTCCAAATGAATAGTTATTTCATACCAAGAAGCAGTTATCCCTCTGGTAGAGGATCACCTAATTTCTGTTCTCTCAAAACCTTGACAGCAAAAGAAACTGCTGCTTTACATCTAGTCCTGCCATCATCTATAGGATTTCTGAGAACTCAGTTATTTTTCTTAAGGATCTGCTTTTAATTTCTATGTTTTCATTGCTTCGTCCTTTTGAACCATCTGTTAAAAAAACCTCCTCTACAGATCATGGGAAAAATTCCATTAAAGTGCTTTACATTTTTCCCAATTAAGTTTCAGAATCTGTCAAGACTTTTAGTTTTTTTTTTAAGTACACATGAACATTAAAAATAGCATGGAAACCTTAAACCAAGACTGATAAGATGATGTAAACACTATATTTGATAGCTTTGATTTTATTTTCTTCTGAGCCAAGGAAGTTGGACTTTAACCTTCCATCCATATTTACATCATTAGACCTCAAAATATTGGCAGAATGGCCGATTACCACTAGAGTCCTCTTCACTTTATTGTCTGTCTTGCATCTGTCAGATAAATACGCCTCATTTGGGAAGGTGGGGTGGGGTGGAGGGCAATAATGCTATTTGTTAGTTGATGTAGTGATAGAAGTTGCAGTGGTGCAGTTTTTCACCTAAGGTGATTTTACATCTATTCATCACCAGCCTGAAAGACAAAAAGTTAGTCAGGCCAAACAAGTAGTTCCCTTTCAACTTTTGCCATGTTGCTGTTACAAGCAACTAAATCCAATACCAATTGCTGAGATATGAAACAGGATAAAATATAACAGTCTCTTCCTGTTTTTCATTAAATGGAAGTCCTGTGATTAATTCTTTAAAAATGCAACATTCTTTGATAAGTTTCATTTAGTAAGTTGGATTTCAATTTTCATTTTTTCTTTAAAAGTTTTATATGTCAGGACAGATTTATTCTAGATTCTAAGATATAAATTGTCATTTACCCATTCATGTATGTAATTGCATGGTTTATGCCTACTGTATACATTATTAGGATCTGGGCAGAGAAGTGATTTATATGGAAAGATAAAACAAAGCATTGTGCCTGACCTCAAGCAGTTCTCGGAATAAAAAACAGAGAATGAGTATCTGTATATCACAGGAGGCAGAATATGCTATGTTACAGAGCCTCACACAGACATTGGACCAATAATCACTGATGCCGTTATCAATATGTTTCCACTCAGACCCATCACTGTATTTACATGGGGTTAGGATATTTCCTCCTACCCTCCATCATTTAGCCTCTAAAGTTTAGTATGTTATAATGGACTTTCTCCCTTGTAGGTCCTTTCAGAGTTACTCATGACCAATTCCTGTGAATCATACTTTAACTATACCTGCTAGTCAGGCTTTCTCTTATGCCACATTAACCCAGTCACTCAAGAGACACCAGAAATGGTTTTGCTTTAAGGTGGATTTACGGTCAGTTTTAAACCGTTGTTTTCGTGCTTTATTTCCCTACCATAATAATGGAACAAGAGTCTTTCTAAAAGAATAGCCTTTCTAAAAAAAGAGTGTCCATACTTGCAAGTTCTTTTCCATAGGAAATTTTAATGGATTGAAATGTAGCCTCTCCAAAAATTTCTGCTTCATAGTATGTGGCCCTGTCAGCTGCATGGTGAGTTTCACAAATACTATTGGCTAACACACTCTTTGGCATGGTTACTGGCAGAGAAATGTCTGTTTGCTTGTTTGATTCTGAAATGGGGTGTACGGGGTTTTGTTTATTTTAAAGAGCAAAATAGTGAGGTGAGGTTAGTAAACTAATATATGTTTGTATATCTGACTAAAACATTTTTCTTGACCTATATCATGCCTGGCACTTAAGCCTGGTGCTTAATTTGTACTCAGTAAGTGTCACTGTTGGATTATTATTATTTTTCAATTAGTTTTGTAGATGTAGGCCTCCCAGACTCAGATATTCTGAGGCTAAATTCAGGCCTGGTAAGAGATGACAAAACAGAAGGCGAATGTACCTAAGGAGACTAAACGTACCCTTCAGTACCCTTCCATGGTGAGAAGGCGGTGTCACTGCCCCATTTGCATTTCACCCCAGGTGTTATCTTTTCTCTTTTCTCAAAGCATACTCCTTGAAAGTGGGTTTTGTATCATTCTATTTCAACTTTATGTCACATCTAGAAATACAACATTGAATCCAAATGAGCAAAACACGATTCAATTTTTTAACAATTTTTTGTTGTGATAAAATATATAACATAAAATTTACCATTTTAACCACTTTTAAGTGTACATTTCAGTGTCATTAAGTATATTGTTGTGCAGCTAGCACCACCATCCAACTCCAGAACTTTTTTATCTTCTCCAACTGAAACTCTATTCCCCTTCAACAACAACTTCCCATACCCCACTTTTCCCAGCCCCTGGTCAGCACCATTTTATTTTCTGTCTCTATGAATTTGACTTCTCTAAGTACCTCATACAAGAAAAATCACACAATATTTGTCTTTTGTGTCTGGCTTATTTCACTTTAAATAATTTCATTATTAATTAGAGAAGCAAAGAAGACATAAGAATCAGTTAGTGGAAGCAGCAAGTCAAGACCACAGACTAAGGGAGCAGGAATAACTGCAGAGGGTAGAATTTGTCCCATGTGACACTCTGACTTCTAAAGTACCTTCTAGAGCTAAGATTTTATTATGACGACAGATTTCTGAGGAACAGGCTGAAGGAAAAGAACAGAATTCTAAGTATGAAAGCATCATGGACTAACTACATTTATGAGGGAGAAGAAACAGAGAGAGAGAGAGAGAGGGAGGGAGAAATTGATTTAACTGAGGAAAGATTTTTGGTATTTTGTTTTGTTTGTTTTGTTTTAGGTATAGATTTCAATTTCCATTTAGTATTGCCCCCTTGTGGCAAACCATGATGTTTGCTGACAAAAATTGACAAAGCTGTAAAGAAAGCAAAACCTAAGGGAACTAAAATGTCCTGCGCAACTCCATGTGCTGGGTTTGATGCACAGAGTGCTTTCATATATCGCAGAGTGCTTATGTGTATTACCACATCTAAGCTTCTCCACAAGCCTGTGAAATAGGTATTGTTTAAGGACTGCAAGCCTCATTTTTAAGAGGTGAGGAATTTATGACTGAAAGTGGTTAAATAGAAGGTACTGGAGTTGGGATTTCAACCCAAGTGCATCTAGTTCCAAAGGCCATGCTTAAAAGAACCAAATGCACTCAACAAAGAGTTTTAGGCATCAGTTATATGCCTGTGCTGCTGCAGATGCTGAGAATACAGGGGTAAGCCAAAACCTTGTTCCTGCTATAAACTTTCAGTCTAGTGAATTATAGTAGAGACATTAATTAAATGGTTGCACAAAGGCATAGAGACATTAATTAAATGGTTGCACAAAGGCCGTTTATTAGCTATGTGATTTAGGGAGTTTCACCTTTCAGGCTTTCTGTCTTCGCAAAATATAAAATTATTTTATATTTTTATATAAATTTATATAATTTTTTTAAAATTTATTGTTTTTGGCTTGTTGGGTCTTTGTTGCTGCGCGCAGGCTTTCTCTAGTTGCAGTGAGTGGGGGCTACTCTTAGTTGAGGTGCGCGGGCTTCTCATTGCGGTGACTTCTCTTGTTGCAGAGCACAGGCTCTAGGTGCGCAAGCCTCAGTAGCTGTGGCACATGGGCTCAGTAGTTGTGGCTCACAGACTCTAGAGATCAGGCTCAGCAATTGTGGCACATGGGCCCAGTTGCTCTGCGGCACATGGGATCCTCCCATACCAGGGCTCGAACCTGTG